CATGCAAGACAAGGAACATGGCGGATACTCGACAGCATCGAGCGTTAATTTGCGACCGGAATTATTTGCTTACGACGAAACGAAGTTGAATTTTATTTGCATTTCATTCCAATTCAACAAATTTGTTTTTTTTTAAACGTTATTATAATCACTACTGAGTAATAATCAACAATTGTGAAACTCAGCATGACTGGATTGCGCAACCGTGATCATTTGTTGCTCGGCAGTTGTGATCGTTTTTACTTTGTTTAGAATATAATTTCGTTACCAATTAAATTAGGAAAATAAAGTTTATTTCACGTACCAGGTTCGTTAAAGTAATTTTTTGGAGAAAAATTACCCTGGGTGAAATTGTAAGTTTTAGGTGGTTAAATTAGCAGGTCTCAGTATTGACTGTCTCGCCGTACTTCAGACGGGACTTCACACTTTCCATTGTGAAATGTAGATGCTAATAGGTGTTTTTAAAGACAATGGCACAGTATTGTACGTGAATTTAAAAGCTCTATGAACTTTGTATGCGGGACAATGGCATCGCAAACGCACACAATGCCTTTAGACCTATCATAATACGACCAAGACGTGTGCTCACCGGATGCGTCCCAGGGACTCACCAGTTGAAAAATTCATGCGTCCCACAGAAAAACTATGCTTCCCAGACGCGTAATTCCGCGTTAACGCAATCCCTGGGTCAATAATTCCATTAACCAATCAGAATGCCGCATGGTAATGCCGGTAGAATCCCAAGTTTTCCGAATGGTTGTGACCGTAAAAATTACATTGCGGAAGTAAAGCGATGTTACACGATGTGTTGACATCAATTTCTGTTGAAAATTGCTTGATGGTGATCGAAAAAGATGATTAGCAATTTTTAAAAGGTAAAATAGGTCTTGATAGAAGAGTTTCTACATGAATCGCGATGATAACAAGTTCAAATGTATTTTACCGAATCGCGCAATAAACACGTTGATTTTTTTCTTGAGTCGCGTAAACTGTCAGATAGTGAACTCCGCTTTGACCATGTTATATCGGGGTGAAATTGATTTTGAAAGAATTTTACCTTTCAATCTAAAGACTGACATAGTCGGAGACACTATTGCAGAAAGTATTTACTTACAAACAAAGAGTGCTAATTTCACAAAATTGACTAGCCGCTACGTATCGTGCAACCAGGTCTATTGTTTACAAATTATAATCCACGACTGATGGGATGCGTGTCGGTCGGTACATAATTATAATAACAATTGGACAATAGTCCTGGTCAGAAGCATTTCCGTGGTGGTCGCTAATTTTGAGTGTCGGTCGGGGCCGACAACCGTGGCGAGATCCCTGCATTATCACTACTATAATTTCCATCAAAATGTACATTTTCCACTGAGATTGGTAATGGTACGATCCATCTGTCACTGATTCAGATCAAGGTTATGACATCACTAAAAACCCTAGCATTACAATCTAATTATTTATTCTGAGCATGCTCAGTTGCTAAGAGAAAATGCTAGAGACGTCACAGACAGAAAATTGAAATAAGAATTGTTAGTCAGCCTTTCAGACTGCCTGAAACAGGAACTAAAAATGTAATCTTTAGTTCACGCACAACAAGTCATAATGTCAGTGACAAAGACGTTGCATAAACTTTCAAAAAATCGCTTTTGTAATAATTGGTACATCAGACGTGTTTAAATCAATGCATGCATGTCCAAAGATGCATACATGGAACCCAAGTTACAAGTCCCTGTTCTGGCACAACAGCATCCAATATAGGCTAATCGGACCATAGATCATTTGTTCAGTTAAGTATTTAAGATTCCTTCCAAGTTTGTTATGAAGTGACCTTGCTAGGGGTTATGCTCAAGTAAATATTTACTATTAGACTAATATATATTTTCTCATTATCCAATGTTTGGAGGAATATTTTATTGTTATTCAAAAGATAAGCTATAAACTAGAAT